AATAGATATTCAAAAATAGCAACGCAAACTACTACATTGTAAACTGTAAATTTAGTGTTCTGAATTGTATGCACTGAATTTAAAATCTATCGTTTAATTGCTCAATAGTGTTAATTGGCTCAACATAAACTAATTGTTTTAAGTGGTCCCATAAAATGTCTAAAGGGTAGAGTTATAAATAACTTTTATTGAACAATCGGCAATGACTTTGTACTGATGTAAAAAAGCAAATACATATAAATTGTAAACTATAAATTTAGTATTCTGAATTGTATGCATTGAATTTAAAATCTGTCGTTTAATTGCTCAATAGTGTTAATTGGCTCAACATAAACTAATTGTTTTAAGTGGCCCCATAAAAAGTCTAAAAGGTTGAGTTATAAATAACTTTTATTGAAATGTATTTGCTTTTATTTATTTATTGAACAATCGGCAATGACTTTGTACTGATGTAAAAAAGCAAATACATATAAATTGTAAACTGTAAATTTAGTGTTCTGAATTGTATGCATTGAATTTAAAATCTGTCGTTTATTTGCTCAATAGTGTTAATTGGCTCAACATAAACTAATTGTTTTAAGTGGCCCCGTAAAATGTCTAAAGGGTTGAGTTATAAATAACTTTTATTGAAATGTATTTGCCTTTTTCTGCTTTATAATAATAAATGAATTGTTAAATAAAATATTAAAGTATTTTTTAAATCTGAAAATCTAAATGAAATTCTATCTGAAGAAAGTTATCTTTTGATTTATAATTAGAATTCTAGTTTTTTGATATAACATTTCATTTTTGCTGTTCAGTTGCGAAACACCCTGTATAAATACTTAACTATACTTGAATTTTAATTACAAAATTTCGTTTATTTTCGGAATTAATTCAATGAAAATGAATAATAAAAATTCTGTTTGAATTTAATAGTGGAAATATTTTCCTGAATTCGTGTCTGCTTTTATGAGTTTTTATCGTTTATTCTTCAAACGAAATTGCTTTTAACCTAGCTGAGGAAGCGGGGTAAAGAGACACGGTGAAAGGAACTGTTTGAATGTATTATCTTATATCGTTATCTCTTGACTCATGTTGTTCGAACGATTTCTTACGAAAATAATAATAACCGTCGCAGAGGTCTAATATGATGCTT